GTTGTTGCAAAAGAGGTAAAATTTTTTTTTTTCAACAAACCCGCCATACCCCACTAAGGCATGGTGGCCCAAAAAGAAAAACAAAAGTTTTTCTTTTTAAATTTAGTAATCTATACAGGAGAAGGGGTTACCAGCCCCTTGCTCCCGGCATTTTAGCTGCCTCTTACAACACGCATGGCTTACGGAAGAAGAATTCTGTTCCACTTCCCCATGGAGATAAGAGGAAATAAACAAGAATAAGAACTAGAAAGGAAATAGAAGAAAACCCAGAGGGGTGTGTGTATATATATGCTGGTACATGTATCTGTGGGCTAGTAACCCCTTCTCCCTTATAAATTGCTAAATTTAAAAAGAGAAACTTTCGTTTTTCTTTTTGGGTCACCCTGCCTCAGTGGGATACGGCCGGTTTGTTGAAAGAAGAAGACATGTATGTGTAGTGTGACCTAAACGTAAGTAGAAGTAACAAGATGTACCTGAAATCTTGCATGTTCATGAGACAGAAAAAAGGACACTAGCAATCCTACCATCATATAAAACAATTACAGGCTTTCGTTTTACACTCTCTTGGCAGGATGGTAGCACCTCCCTGGGCGGTTGCTGTCTACCAACCTATTATCTATAAAAGAGGTAAATATGCTCACAAAAATGAGATCATACGTACTCGAAGATGTTGAGAAGTTATTGTTGGTGTGGATCGACGAGAAACAATTAGCAGGAGACAGTGTTATGCAGTCTATAATTTGTGAAAGGCAAGGCAGTTGCATGCCGATCTCGTAAAGAAAATGCCTGCAACGAGTGCTCATGCTAGTGAATTTAAGGCCAGCAAAGGCTGACTTGAGAGATTTAAGAAGAGTAGTGGCATACATAGTGTGGTAAGGCATGGTGAGGCTGCCAGTTCTCACAAATATGCAGCTGAAAAATATACGTGCAAATTCAAGGGGGTACATAGAGGCTGACAAATTCAAACCCCAACAAGTGTTCAATTGTGATGAAACAGGCCTGTTTTGGAAGAAAATGCCAAGGAAGACCAACATTACGCAGGAGGAAAAGGCACTACCAGGACACAAGTCTGTAAGACAGGCTTACTCTTTTGTTCTGTAGTAATGCTAGTGGGGATTTCGAAGTGGAGCCTTTACTAGTGTATCACTCTGAAAATCCCAGTGTTTTCAAGAAAAATAGTGTCACCAAGAGCAAATTGTGTTTGATGTGGAAGGCTAACAGTAAGGCATGGGTCAGAGGGGAAATTTTCCTTGATTGGTTCAATGAAGTATTTGGCCCCAGTGTGAAGAAATACCTCCTGGAAAATAAATTGGAACTCCAAGTGCCTCCTGGTAATGAACAATGCACCTGCTCATCCTCCAGACTTGGATGACCAAATGGTGGAGGAGTTTCATTTCATCACAGTGAAGTTCTTGCCTCCTAATACCACTCCTCTCATCTAGCCCATGAACCAGAAGATCATTTCAAACTTCAAAAAACTCTACACCAAAGCAATGTTTCAAAGGTGCTTTGATGTGACCTCTGACACTCAACTGACCCTTAGAGTTTTGCAATGATCACTTCAGTATCCTCCATTGCATAAACCCTATACATAAGGCTTGGGAGGGAGTGACTTCCAGGACTTTGAACTCTGCTTGGAGAAAATTGTGGCCAGATTGTGTCCAAAAAAGGGATTTTGAAGGGTTTGGGGCTGACCCTGAGGAGCCTATGCCAGTTGTGGAAAGTATTGTGGCATTGGGAAATTCCATGGGGTTGGATGTGAGTGGCGAGGATGTGGAAGAGTTGGTGGAGGACCACAATGAAAAGCTAACCACTGAAGAGTTGACAAAAGCTTCAACTGGAACAGCAACAGACCACAGCTCAGGAAACTGCTTCAGAGGAGGGAGAGAGATGGACAAAGGTGCCCTCTTCAGAGATTAAGGAGATTTGTGCAATGTGGAGTAGGATGGAAAGATTTGTGGAGGAACATCACCCTGACAAAGCTCTTGCAAGCCGTGTCGGCAACATGTACAATGACAATGTCTTGTCCCATTTTAGGGAAATTTTAAAGAGACACCAGAAACAGAGCTCTCTGGACAGATATTTAGTGCCACAGGTGTGTAGTGACTCAAGCTGGTCCTAGTGGCATTAAAAAATAAAGAAGGGAGGTAACCTCCATAAAGCACTTGGTACCTGAAGTCTTTATGGAAGGGGATTCCCCTTCCAAACAATAATTAATCCATCCTCTCTCCTCCTCCTGTCTTCCATACACTAAGAAGAATTTTCAATAAAGGTAAGTGTCATGCTATTATTGTTTCATTCTTCATGTCTCACTGTTTTCTGTGTGTGTACATCTATATTTCATGTAAAAAATTATTTTGTTTTAAGACTTCTGGGTGTCTGGAATGGATTAATTGGATTGACATTATTTCTTATGGGGAAAAAGGCTTTGCAACTCGTCAATTTCGATATTAGTTACACTCTCTGGAACGTATTAATTACGAAAAACGAGAGTCCACTGTAGATGACACTACCAGTGGTACCAAAATTGAAAGGATGTTGCACAAATTTTGTACATGTGTTATTATCGAGGTTTTTGATATTTCTGCGACAATTTGTGGCCACATCCACCTCCAAGCAACTAAACTCAGGGTCAACTTCGCTTTCCTCTTAAAAGGGAAGTATTAAAACGACATGACATCAATGAATCCTTAGTGTTTGCTGTGCTGTTTGCTCTAGCTGGTGCTCAATTGAACTGATGCTCCCACAAGGTACTAAATGGTCCCAAATTTTTTTAATACTGCACACACCGAGTGTTAAGACCCATTCTATGCTGACCAGGCACCTCAGGCCAATCGTGCCAAATTTGGAGGCAGGAAAATAAAAGGTAGATCTACGTTTGAAGTGCCAGTGGTAAGAACATAGATCTACGTTTGGACTGTTAACGGATAAAAAAGAAATCTTTCATTACATATAAACAAACTATGTAAATATATTAGATACAGGATGTTTACCAGAAGCCTAAGTGTATGAAGCAAATGACTATCATTATTTAGTTATGCATTAAAGGATTGTCTTAAGACTACTTCATGCAAATGCCTACCCTCTAAATTGAAGAACTTGGACCTGAAACAGTTGCCTGTCAAATGTATTGCCTGACAAGCTTGATACTCCAGTTGCTTTTAGTCAATTAGCCTCCAGTGGCTTTATCAATATCATTTGCATCCTACTCCTGTCTAACCTCCAGTTCCCATGGCTTCTATCCCCAGATGAAGCCTAAACCTATTAATACCACCTATATTCTTTAACCCTTTGACTGTTTCAGGAATATATATACGTCTTACAAGCCACCGTGTTTGACGTACATATACTCAAAAATTCTAGCGGCTTCAAATCAAGCAAGAGAAAGCTGGTAGGCCCACATGTGAGAGAATGGGTCTGTGTGGTCAGTGTGCACCATATAAAAAATCCTGCAGCACGTAGTGCATAATGAGAAAAAAAACTCTGACCATGTTTTTGGATTAAAATGCCGACTTTGTGGTGTATTTTCGTATAGTATTTATGATTGTATTCTCATTTTCTTGGTCTCATTTGATACAATGGAAAACATATTATAGAAATAGAAGTGATTTTGATTGGTTTTACTATGAAAAGAACCTTGAAATGGAACTCAAAGTAGGGAAAATGTTTGATTTTTGCCCATGTTCAAAAGTAAACAAATGATGTCATTGTCCAATAAATGTCCAACTAGCCATTCTAATATGCAGTCATAAATGGGTTGACATTTATACAATGATTATAATATTGCAGTAGTCTGCATAACAGTGAATCTTCTATTTTTTTTGCTTTATAGTAATCTGTTTACATTAATGTTTTATCACTGATTTCATCATTGCTTAGTTAATCTTAAGTTAATTTTAAGCCAGCCCGTAATGCTATGCATAGTATAAGTGGCTTTGGCATACTGCTCTTATCTGTATTTTTTTGTACCTCTGTATGTGTGCTCAAATTGGAAAACAAAAATTCAAAATAGAAAGCAAGAGTAATATCAGAGGGGCCTGGAGACATGACTGATGAACAAAGAAAATGTTATTTTAGAGCGAGGAATGTCAGCTTTGTTCATTCTGGACCCTATTTCGAAGTTGGCATATTTTTTAATTTGCGTGAAATTGGCCAAATTGCAAATTTCTGACCACGTTATTGGGTAGTTGAAATTGGTAAATGGGCAGTTTCTTGTACTCAATCAGTACAACAAATGGAGTTCTAAGGAAACAGCTTTGAGGTTGGTAAACTGGAACAATGGAATTAGCCGAAAATAGAGCTCAAAGTGGGCGAAATCACCAATTCGTAAATATCGCCGAAGTAACTAACTTTGCAAGAGCATAATTCCACAAGTTTTCCATCAAATTTCATTCTTTTGGTGTCATTACCATCAGGAAAAGATTCTCTATCACTTCATAAGAAAAATAATTTTTTTTTTTTTCAAAAAATTTTCAACACCAGGAGACCTCTCACCACAGTTTTATAAAAATTATTTTTTATTGTCTATTTAGCATTTACTGGAAGGGATTAATTATACTCAACAGTTCTACTGTCACTCTTTAGTTTTGTTTTTATTTTTAACAACTGGTTGTCTACCAAGTAGGTAAGGTGGAAAAAAAAATCACTCATTTAACAGGTGTCTTACCAGAAGTACAGACACATCACAATTCTAATGATACTCCAAAATGCAATTAAAAAAATATTTATGATCAAAGGCTCTTATCCTGACAATTTTTGAATAATAAGGTGTGACTAGAGAAATTAACAAAAAGAAAGAAGACCAGATGAGATACTACTGTAGATCCTGAAAAAAATGTAGAGAGTTCTGTTACTCTTTTTGGATTATATTAAAGGTTTCCCAGAAGGAAAATTAATGACAAACAGAAAATGGCAAATATGCTAATAATTAACAAAAAATTATCAGGAAAACCATTGATTAAAATAATTAGTTCTTTCAATTTAAAAAAAAAAAATCTTACCTATCTAACTGGTCATGGTGATATGGATTACTGGTTTTAATATCCTCTTGTCTACAATGGAAAATTGGTTCTGATGTCAACAGTTCAGCAAATATACAACCAATTGCCCATATATCTGCAAAAGACAAAAATGGAATATACACAGCTTAGTTTTCTAACTTTGGTTTAACCTTGTCTATACATATTTCTTCTATTACAATACTCTTGTCTATGTGGACTAAACATTTTGTAACCCCTTTTACTTGCATTCATCAGTTATAACCCATCACACTGATTGACACTATTTCCTATTATTTTTATTATATTTTTTTTTATTATCACACCGGCCGATTCCCACCAAGGCAGGGTGGCCCGAAAAAGAAAAATTTTCACCATCATTCACTCCATCACTGTCTTGCCAGAAGGGTGCTTTACACTACAGTTTTTAATCCTTTCAGGGTCCGTCCCGTAGATCTACGGCTTTACGGTGAGTGTCCAAACCGTAGATCTACGCCATGAGCTCAGCTCACTCTGATAAACTGTGAGTGGTACATTTGGGCCTAGATATGAGAGAATACATCTATGTGGTATGTGTGCACCACATAAAACAGATCCTGCAGCACACTGTGTATAATGAGAGAAAAAAACTGAAATCATGATTTTTCGATTAAAACAGCAACTTTGCAGTGTTTTTTCGTATGTTTTTTATAGTTGTATTTGCGATTTCTTGGTCTCATTTGATAGAATGGAAGACATATTACAGAAATAGAATTGATTTTGATTGGTTTTAGCACTGAAAATGGCTTGAAACTGAGCTCAAAGTAGCGGAAATGTTAAATTTTTGCCGATATTCAAGAGTAAACAAACGACCTCACACGTCTAATACACGTCAGCTGGTGGGTCTAATATACATTCACAAATATGGTGATGATATTTATACAATTATTACAGTATTGCATAACAGTAAATCTTCTATTTTTTGGTGTGAATAAAAATTCATTATGTGAATAAAAAATCAAAATGGAATTTATTTGTAAAGCCTCACAACATAACTAATGAACAGAGGAAATGTTAGTTTAGTGCCAGGAATGCCTACATTGTTTATTCTGGACCCTATTTTGAAATTGGAATATTTTGAACTTTGTGTTAAATTGGCCAAATTAACAATTTCCGATCACTTTATTTTGTAGTTGAAACAGTTGACTTGGTGATTTCTTGTGCTCAATCGATAGAATAGAAGTAATTCTAGTGAAATAGCTAAGAATTTGGTTGATTGGAATAATGTAATTGGCCTAAAATGGGAGTCAAAGTCGGCAAAATCGCCGATTCGTAAACATCGCTGACACATCAAAATTCGCGAGAGCATAATTTCGTCAATTTTCCACCAAATTTCGTACTTTTTGTTTTATTACCTTCACAAAAAGATTCTCTACGATTTAATAAGAAAAAATAACATATTTTTTTTTTGAAAATTCTTGGACACTGGTGCGTGACTCCAGATTTGGGCCTTGGACCCTGAAAGGGTTAAACTGCAACATTAACACCCCTCCTTCAGAGTGCAGGCACTGTACTTCCCATCTCCAGGACTCAAGTCCGGCCTGCCGGTTTCCCTGAACCCCTTCATAAATGTTACTTTGCTCACACTCCAACAGCACGTCAAGTATTAAAAACCATTCGTCTCCATTCACTCCTATCAAACACGCTCACGCACGCCTGCTGGAAGTCCAAGCCCCTCGCACACAAAACCTCCTTCACCCCCTCCCTCCAACCTTTCCTAGGCCGACTCCTACCCCGCCTTCCTTCCACTACAGACTGATACACTCTTGAAGTCATTCTGTTTCGCTCCATTCTCTCTACATGTCCGAACCACCTCAACAACCCTTCCTCAGCCCTCTGGACAACAGTTTTGGTAATCCCGCACCTCCTCCTAACTTCCAAACTACGAATTCTCTGCATTATATTCACACCACACATTGCCCTCAGACATGACATCTCCACTGCCTCCAGCCTTCTCCTCGCTGCAACATTCATCACCCATGCTTCACACCCATATAAGAGTGTTGGTAAAACTATACTCTCATACATTCCCCTCTTTGCCTCCAAGGACAAAGTTCTTTGTCTCCACAGACTCCTAAGTGCACCACTCACCCTTTTCCCCTCATCAATTCTATGATTCACCTCTATGATTCCTATTATTATTATTATTAATAGGGTTGGATGAGTTTTAAAAATGCAGTATTAGAATGTGGGGCAGAAGTTTGTGGTTATAGGAGGGTGGGGGCAGGAGGAAAGAGGAGTGATTGGTGGAATGAAGTAAAGGGTGTGATAAAAGAGAAAAAGGTAGCTTATGAGAGGTTTTTACAAAGCAGAAGTGTTATAAGAAGAGCAGAGTATATGGAGAGTAAAAGAAAGGTGAAGAGAGTGGTGAGAGAGTGCAAAAGGAGAGCAGATGATAGAGTGGGAGAGGCACTGTCAAGAAATTTTGATGAAAATAAGAAAAATTTTTGGAATGAGTTAAACAAGTTAAGAAAGCCCAGGGAACGTATGGATTTGTCGGTTAAAAACAGAGTAGGGGAGTTAGTAGATGGGGAGATGGAGGTATTAGGTAGATGGCGAGAATATTTTGAGGAACTTTTAAATGTTGAGGAAGAAAGGGAGGCGGTAATTTTATGCACTGGCCAGGGAAGTATACCATCTTTTAGGAGCGAAGAAGAGCAGAATGTAAGTGTGGGGGAGGTACGTGAGGCATTACGTAGAATGAAAGGGGGTAAAGCAGCTGGAACGGATGGGATCATGACAGTAATGTTAAAAGCATGGGGGGATATTGTGTTGGAGTGGTTGGTACTTTTGTTTAATAAATGTATGAAAGAGGGGAAGGTACCTAGGGATTGGCAGAGAGCATGTATAGTCCCTTTATATAAAGGGAAGGGGGACAAGAGAGACTGTAAAAATTATAAAGGAATAAGTTTACTGAGTATACCAGGAAAAGTGTACGGTAGGGTCATAATTGAAAGAATCAGAGGTAAGACAGAATGTAGGATTGTGGATGAGCAAGGAGGTTTCAGAGTGGGTAGGGGACGTGTAGATCAAGTGTTTACATTGAAACATATATGTGAACAGTATTTAGATAAAGGTAGGGAAGTTTTTATTGTATTTATGGATTTAGAAAAGGCATATGATAGAGTGGATAGGGGAGCAATGTGGCAGATGTTGCAAGTGTATATGGAATAGGTGGTAAGTTACTAAATGCTGTAAAGAGTTTTTATGAGGATAATGAGGCTCAGTTTAGGGTGTGTAGAAGAGAGGGAGACTACTTCCCGGTAAAAGTAGGTCTTAGACAGGGATGTGTAATGTCGCCATGGTTGTTTAATATATTTATAGATGGGGTTGTAAAGAAGTAAATACTAGGGTGTTCGGGAGAGGGGTGGGATTAAATTATGGGGAATCAAATACAAAATGGGAATTGGCACAGTTACTTTTTGCTGATGATACTGTGCTTATGGGAGATTCTAAAGAAAAATTGCAAAGGTTAGTGGATGAGTTTGGGAGTGTGTGTAAAGGTTGGTTGTAGCTGGCACGGCACTCCACTACTCTCAAACACATTGAAGCCTTGAAGAATTTGCACTTAAATCGACGACAGACGCACACAGGAGGCATTTACGTTGGTGCACAGGGACAAAGGAACAATCTTGCGTCTTGACCCCGTATGTGGTCTGTAAAATATGGTGCTAGGACCTGTTACATGGGTACAAAAAACAGTGGTGGTAGGTGTGGGTGAGTGAGGGGGGGGCACGGTGGAACACTTCATGGGCCTATGGGATAAGCGGCGTAAGCCACGTGACACGCAAACTAGGCACGAAAATATTCTAAGCCGGGCTGGCTTAAAAAACCCACAAAATACCACAACACCAAGCACAAAGCGATGGAGAAGGCTGTACCCACGTGGCTTGCTTGAGTACTGGGTTAAGTCACCTAGGTTAGTTGGCTGGCTTGCTTGGCTGGCTTAACCCATCACACAGACTGGCTTGAGAACTTGTAACGATGAGCACAGCAGGGGTGGAAAGCTGGCTTAGCAGGCAAGGCTGGTACTTAAGACAGGCTGGATGGTGTAGGGCTTGACTCCCCCCCACAGACTGGCTTGGTGGCTTGGCTTAATTTGCAAACCCGGGTCAACCCCTCGGAAGTAATGCAAATAAGCAAATAAAACACTAAGACAAAGACTGACCAGGAAATAGTGCAGAGAGGCTGGCGAGTGCTGGGTCGTAGCAGCAGGCTGTTTAGCTAGGCCGCCATGCGTCACACAAAGGCAGTCATCGGCTGACAGAAGTTTACCTCCGTCCATCGGCGTAATTAACAATTTTACACCCACACCGCTGGCACCATTTGTTGGGAGGGTTCGTGGGGATGTGATGGTTGGAGTTAAACACACTTGTTGGATGGTAACACTTATATTAGCAGAGTGTGAAGGGGAGGCCCAGCATGCCTGTTGCTGCCTGGTAGGTCTAACGGGAACTGAGGACAGGGCCGGGAGTGCAGCGCTCACATCGGCATCACGTGACGTCACACAAGCTAGTCACTGAGCCTAGCAAGGGGTCATGTATGTAAAACATATGGATGGTACTAACTATGATACTCAGATAAGCTATACAACAAATTTGGGGATCAGCAACTATGCTGACAACAGTAGGCTTCTGTACTCGACTGAAGAAGCCTACTGTGTAGGCAAAACATTACGGAATAAAGTTGCCTAAATGTTGCCTACGTGTCTTGCCTACCAACCATGGGTATATAAATACATATATACGTACATGTACATGCATGTGTAGTGTCACTTAAGTATAAACAGAAGTAGCAAGATATACTTGGTATCCCACGTGTTTACGAAACAGAAAAAGACACCAGCAATCCTTCCATCATGTAAAACAATTACAGGTTTCCATTTCACACTCACTTGACAGGATGGTAGTACCTCCCTGGGTGGTTGCTGTCTACCAACCTGCTACCTAGGCTATATATACACCTACCATCCGACTTGCGACCTGCTCGACTTACGACCACTCGACTTACGACCACGTTTTTTATGCCAAATTTCTGGGAAATAAACAACTATTTGTGTTGTACACAGTGTTTATCCTA